CCGTGACCAAGGCCATGGATAAGACCAGTGGCAGGGCTCAAGTCTGCATTTAGACCCAGCCTAGAGTCAAACCTCCATGACACCACACTCTCCTGCCCCATCGATTTTTTGGTGGGGGGGGGATTTGGTCAGTATGGCAACACCTGAGAGTTTCGGCCGCTTTGGGGAAGCTGTCCTCCTGTACCTTTGGTAGAGCTTTTCGCCTCCTCTTCTCTCCCCTTGCCCCCTTCGCCTTCACAGCCCGAACATGCTGGACACCATCAGCAGCCAGTACGATTCCTTCATCTACTGGAGGATGCCGATCCCGCGGCTGGACGTGGCGGAGCTGGAGGGGCTGGGGCTCAGCGACGTGGCCCTCTACAAACCCAAAGGAGGGCTGGGCAAGCTCGCCAGCGAGCGGGATCAGGTCAGCCAGGACATCTCCGACGAAGAGGACGGTCTGCTGCAGTTCAACAGCTTTAATTTCTGGAGAGCTCCTATCGCCAGCATTAGCTCGTTAGATTTCGATCTAATTTGAAGCCCTCCTTTCTGCCCTCCTCACCCCCCCTGCCCTCTCCCTCTCTGCTAGGCATGCAAGGATTTGGTTTTGTTGTTGGTTTGGAGGTTGTTTTTTTTTGCTTCCGGGCAGTTTTTGACATTGTTAATTAACTCAGCAGTTCACCCCAGCCCTGATGGTGGTGGGCTCCCCACAAAACTTCAACCTCTCTCCACCTTCTCCCTCTTTTCTTCCTTTCTTGCAGTAGCGCTGGAAACCCCACGACGGTGCAAGGAGGGGGTAACAGCACAGGGGGCAAATACAAGGGGAGGGGGCAGAAACAGCCACCCCATTGCCCCACATCCACATGCCAGCGGGTGCGGGAGGTGCTGGGAGGTTTCTGCCACCACCCCGCACCCTGCGGCTGTGTGACCGTGGGTGTCCCCGTGCTCTGGGACGAGTGTTTGAGCTCATTTCTCATGTGCTTTTTTAAGAAGCTCATTTGTGCAAAGGGAGCAGTGCAGGACTGATGGGAATCCTCTTCGTTTTGCAGAAAGCATCGTCCCCGCTCCTCTCCCAGGGATGCAGAGACCCTCTGCGCTCCCCTGGCCCAGTTTCTCCAAAAGCCGCTTCGCTCCTTAACCTTCCCTTCGGGATAATCAAGGTGAAAGAGGCAGGGATGTGCTCGGAACACAGGCAAAAACCTCTTTCTTGAAAGAAATAATCTCTTTGAGCCTTGTGGCTTGAGCCCAAGCAGGAGAAATGATGGCCAGGAGGGTAAATACACATGGAAATGCTCTGACCTTGCTTGGTGGGGTCAAGGCTGGATGTTCACTGCCTGAAATTTGATTTTTCTCCCTTTTTTATCCCCCGCGTACTTTATCCCAGGTGTGACTCCCTACTGGGACAGAGGCCAGGTGCATCGTGGGGTCCAGATGGGTAACGGGGGCTGAGCTGAAAGATAAGACAGAGAATTTAGTTTGATCTTACCCCGAAATGAAAACGCTTCTGGTTCCCCACCCAATTAATCAACCCCTTTAAAAATAACAATGAAAAAATGCTGCATTCACTCAAGTGGAAGCCTTGCATTTTCCTCGGGGGTTTTCACCTGTGGTCTCCATGGGCTGAGGTTTATTTCTGAGCATCATCCCAAAATGGAGGGGGGGGGAACCCACCCTGAATAATTTTTGGCTTTTAAACAGGTTTTTTTTTTTCCAAGACTGTTTTCTGGGAGAGTGAATGCGACTGGTTTGTCTTCTTGAATGTGCTTTTTGGGGGTTTAATTGGGGTGAAGTTGTGATGTGGAGCATCCCGAAACTGTCCTAAGAGTTGGGGGGGGGGTACGTGGCTGGGGGAAGGCTGAGGCAGCACCTAAAAGGTGCCCCAAAATAGGCAAATATTGGAAAAATCTGCACTCTATTATGAAAATGGAGCACAGCTCTCCTGTAACCTCCAGAAATGACCCAGCCTGCTGACTTTGAACCACCCATGTTAAACCAGAGGTGAAAAATGTAAACTCTCCTATGCAGAGCTGTTTGATTTCTGTGTTCCCAGCTGGGAAAACCCGCAGGAGAAGTATTTATTATGAAACTTTAAATAAAATGATTTAAAAACATTCACATTCCTGTGGACACTTAAAAAAATTCATGTAGACCGGCATCAAGTTCTTTCCGTAATTTGCCATTAAATTGTTTTAAATCTTTTTATGGTGAGCTGAGAACTGACACAAGAACACATACCCATGTGTATTTGCAAAGGCCGTGGAGGATTTAAGTGTGGAGAAACTAAGCCTAAGGGATTATTTTAAGAACATTAAGGATATTATTTAAACTTCAGCTTTTCCAAACCCCACAGGAAAACGTCCCAGAGGAAACCCAGAGAAGAAGGAGGCCCCAGGGTTTCACATTTACTCCAAAACGAGCACTTGGAGTGTGTCAGAGGCACCTGAGGGGGTAACGCACCACAGAGAGGGGGGCTTCAGCACCCCGAGGGGGGACAATCCTAGACAGGAAGGCACTCAGAGGAGACAAGAGACACACAAACTACTTACATACACAAATCTATTTATAGACACAGATCTATCGAAGGGCCGAGGGCCCTGCGAGGCGTGAGGACCAGCCCCGCCGCCTCAGGGAGGCGCCACCGCCGCCGCCCTTTTATACTTGGCGCCTAAACGCCTCTGCCGGAACTAACTACAGGGGCGCATCATCCTCTTCCGCGGTTAGCGCCACCGGTCGCTTCTTCCTGCTATCCTTCCGCTAGAGAAAATACTCCCCTTTTAGAGCGCCCCCCTTCTCGCCGCCCTCCCCCAGGCCTCTGGGCGGGGAGGCGGCCGGGGAAAAGAAGGAGGAATCCGCTAAGCCCGCCCCGTGCCCTCTGCGACAGAGCGAGGGGACGTCCGATCCGCCCTTCCTCCGCCG